GGTTAAGCTCATATATTTTATCATATGTATCAAGTGTAATATATTGAAGTACATTATTATAACTAAAAAATTATGGTGTGTTTAATTTTCTTTAATTAATTACTACATATTTTCTAAAGTCACAGTGTTTGTCGGGTCTCTACATAATCAACTTAACTCACTCAAACCCACTATGCCATGCATTTCCTTCTAATTTTTTGTGATAAAATAATAGACAATTGACTAAGTAAACATCCTCTAGAGTTTCAATAAAAAATTTCAAGTTTTTATCATAATTTTCGTGATTTTTATTCAATTTTTATCGATATCGATATTTCCTCGATATTTCCATCGATATATCCGTGTTTTTGGACTACCGATATTTCCGAAACTCCCGATGTTTTAGACCTTGATTGTGAGTCAGAAAAGATGTCGGCATCCTTGTTTAAGTCAAGACTTCTTCACTTGAAAGTCGGCAATTATAATAGTACAAATACACTGTTATATTTTTGGTAGAAAATAGGTTAGGGGCCTAACTCAACAAAGGGGGACTAAATAGGACTACATATGTTATTACTTGTACATAGTGTCATATAAATACTAACATAATATCCTAACTTAAAATTTCTCAGCCATCAGCCCACCCACGACCCATCTGTCATAGTCTCTGTCTCTCGCTCTGAACTCTCTCACCCTCAGTTCCGTTTTCGGCTGCTAACATTTTCAAAATCAAAATCTGGAGCAAAGAGGAAGATGTTCGCGTCAAATCCAAACCTAACGAAGTGCCCGTTCTTTCCCACTCGCTACGTTCCCATCTCCCGGTCTTTCCACATCACATGTAGCGTTTCGCAGCTGCAATCGGCGGCGGAAGTGGTGAATGGAAGAGTCCCCGAGAGGAACGAGATTCGTCTTGGCTTGCCGAGCAAAGGCCGCATGGCCGCCGACACTCTTGATCTTCTCAAGGACTGTCAATTGTCCGTCAAGCATGTCAATCCCCGCCAATATGTTGCGCAAATCCCACAGGTTCCTTCTCTTTCATTCAAATTCTTTATCTTTTATCTTCTATTTATTTATTTTTGAAAAAAAGAATTGAAATTCATTTCTCCATGAATTTTCACTGCAGCTTTCTGATTTGGAAGTGTGGTTTCAACGGCCCAAAGACATTGTGCGGAAATTGTTGTCCGGAGACTTAGACCTTGGCATAGCAGGTTTTGATACCGTCAGCGAATATGGGCAGGTAACCATCACCTATGTATCGTATTCATTCAATTTATTGGTTTCAGGGTGTGCAGTTGTATATGTAATTGGGATTTAGGGTGCGCAATTGTAAATGTAGTTGGGTTCTATTCAGCACTATAAAATTCTGCATGTAAAATTGATTTCCATCTCAATATCATCAAATCTTTAGAAACTAATGATGTCGTCTTCCATGCTAGCTGTGTATCTTGGATATTGGAATGCATAACCCAGAATGTATTTACTTAGAGGTTCAAATTTATAGATATGAAGTTGGCCCTTTGTTTAAAACAGATGAAAAAAAATAAAAATTTCTTAGTATGTACTTATTTTTGTGTGTGGAATTTGTTTAGAAATTTTCATAACTTGCTATCATTATTTTTTTGTAATCGTCGGGCCAAACAATGGAGAAAGCTATATAATTGACACCAACAGTCATGAGTCATCCCATGTGCTGTTACTCTGTGCAAAAACGTTGATATTTGTGATTTTAGTCATCGTTCAATCATGATCTCTCAATTTCTTGATACTTACCTCAGACCAATCATAGCTTGCTTGTTCTGCCTTTGGTTTTGCTATGATACCTCTGCCCAAAATAAACAGATCATCACTGTTTTTCCTTAGTAATTTGTGTATGTTTAAAAATTACCTGCAGTCATGGCGTCCTTCTCTTGAAGAAATATTTTCTATTTCCTTTGCTTGTTATCCAAAATGACTATGAAGAAGCACATTGAAATTTAAAACTTATTATCATTTGGATTACTTGCCAAAAAGAAGAGAAGGAAAGCCTCCAACTATAGTAGGCTTTCCCCATGTTTTAATCCCTTGACGTCAGACCTATAGTTGACCAACCAGTAAATAAGTCAGAGCCTGAAACAGATGGAAATGTGCATGCACTTGCAGAGTAACAACTCATAAAGCAATAGGCTATGTCTTCTTTTTCATTGCTTCTGAGACCTTTGGATAGTCCAGCATAGTTACTTGACCAGTGTATTCTTTAGGAAGACCTCTGTTATATGTTTTTGTTGATACAAGGGATATTGGGGAGAGATAGACCTCAAGTGCAAGTGTAAATGTTCTTAACCACTGAGCTACAATCGCCTTGCAGCTATGTTATATTTAAGAATTGAGTGTTAGATAAAACTTTGGAAGCAGGCCATCTCATAGAATCTGTCCTTTTATTTTTTAAATATAAGTTCTTTGTCCTCTTTTGCACTCTTTCATTCCGCATATTGTGTCAGAAAAATTACTTCATGTTGTTCTTCTATTAAAGATATTTTCATTGTTTATTATTTTTTTCTTATCCAAAATGAATATGAAGAATT